TCTGGGAAATACACTCGGTTGGCCTGGGGCTACAATAGACTGCTTTATAATGTCAAAAGGTGGCGTGAGGGTGAACTTCTTACTGATTTGAGATGCGCCGCATAATAGTATCATACCTACTGCCATAATTTTAATGATAATTTATTGTTACTGAGAAGGGGAAAAGGAGGTCAGATCTGTATATCGCTCCAGTGAGCACGTGCTGTTACTTGTTCTCTCTCTCCGTTTTTGCAGAGGTGATGGAGAGGAAAAATAAAGCATAATGCATTCTCAAGGTTGCCAGGAGCAACTAATGCTTCCAAATTGGTATTCATGTTTTATTACATCTTAAATTTCAGCATCTTAAAAACAATAAAGGAAATTGCATTTTCACAAAGAATCTTCCTTCAGGGAACGTACTTCAAGTTTACTGTCTTTTTTTTTATTTTTCTGATGTCTTTATACATGTACCACAAACCCCTTGTTTCAAAAAGAACACATATTTACGCCCACATTATATATGTGCAAAGACAAGTGCAAATAATTTCTTAGAGCTTACAACTTTTATTCCTCTGAAACATTACATATAGGGTCCTGATGAGTCTTTTACAGAAACCATATCTGTATCTGTACCTTGTCATCTATATACATGTCTTAACACGAAATATGTGCTCAATCCAAGGACAAGTGAATCACAAAAGAGGACTTCAGCTCTTAATCCTCTGATCACCTTTACCTTTTGAGAATCAAATGCTTCTACTTGGCACGGTTTTTGACCATCTCTGCCTGTAATCTGCATTTTCACAGAGACACAGCCAAACTTTCAACAGAACAAACTGAGAGTCAGAAAAACATTCGTCTGGCATCATTATTAAACAGCGACACAAGTATTTTTAAAGAAAAAATTCAGTACCAATCAATTGTTCCTATACAAATTCTATCAAATAAAAACACTATAGGGCAATTTTTTAAATTCTAATTCGTTCATACTGTGAACGTAACTCTCTCACTGATATGAAGAATATTAGACTGAGTAGGAAAGAAATAGAAATGAATGGCGGCAGAAAAAGAAAAGTAATAATGTCTTTGAAGCGGAGAATTCCTTATCGTTCAAGGAGGTTAATACAATGTAAATCGACCACAGCTAGCTATTAATAAAAAATACATTTATCAGAAAACTTCTATACATTATGAACACTACAATAATACTTCACACAGCTACTTAATAGAAGGAAAGGGATCTTCAGACAAAGTCAAAAAAAAAACATTCATTTTTCCTAGTACTACGTCTTTGTGGAAACAAGAAAAGTTAACCTGGGAGGAAAACAGAGACATTCAGCAGACAAGGATTAAGGTAGGAAAGATAATTTGTGTTTCCAAGGAAACAGGAGACCCGATTACCTGGGACAATGAAAAGACCTAGGTACTGAATGCCTTCTTTGCCTCAGTCTTCACCACCAAGATTGCCTTCAGGAATGCCAGGTCCCGGGGGCCAGGGTGAATGGCTCAGATAAGGAAGTTGTATCTTTGTTGGAAGAGGATCAGGTAAGGGAATACCTGAGCAAACTGTAACCAGTGGAATAGGCTGGTTTGCGTAGCAATAAGGATTAATACATTAGGTAAGAACCAATATATTAGTTTAACAAAATAAATCTATGAGTGATAGTTCTAAAACTTTCCATTTCAACTTCAGTGTGTGAACAGTCTTGTTTTCCTCAATAATTTTGCACCGGGGACATAACAGAATAATTTTATCTTTTGCCTCAACAACTTTGCCTCACAAAAAGCACAGGAGTCGTAATAGAATACTTTTATCTTTTGCACTGAGTAGGGGCAAGGCCATCTTCCTTGGATTCCACATATATTGTTTTAAAAGTTGTTCCTAATAAGCAATGGAAATTTTCCAAACTGGGTAAAAGGAGGTAAGAGTTAGTCAAAAGGTCTTGGTGATGAGGCTGATGGTGAAAAATAGGGAAAAATTAGGTGGGCACTCAACCATACTAGATACCCCTTGATTAGCGGAAACAAACTCTCCAACCCACATAAGGTTGTAAGAGCAGGTACGTCTTTATTTCGGCACTGCGCCACACGCTGGGCACAAGGGGGATCACTCCTCCTATCTTGCACACCAGAGAATGGGATCCTGATACATTTATAAGCCAAGCCATATATATTCAGCAGTATTTCCCAAGACCCATTGACATATTCATTACTTTTCCGGGAATTCATTTCTATACTGTCCCCCTCCGCAGTGCATGAGCAGTAGCTACCATTGGATGAAGGCTCCATGTCTTCTTCTTCACCTGGTGGTGTCTCTGGATGAAGTCAGCAGTCTTCCTCGCCATGTCCTTCCAACCTTTGTCCCCGTTCTGAGCTCTCTTCTCCCACCCTGCATGCCTTAGCAATTTCTTATTCTGCTTATCTTCCTTTTCCATTGCTTTCTTAGGAGCCCTTTTCTGCTGGCTTGAGAAGGCTCCCTTTTGAGAATGTGTCTGGGCTAGCAAAAGGTTAAACTAAGCAATAAATTCCTCTTGAGTTAGCAAAACGTTAAACTAAGTGATGCTATTTGCAAATTTCTTTTGAGTTAGCAAAACCAAGTGATATTATTGGACCCCTTACATCTTGTATTCTTCAGCTTACTATCTCAATTCCCCCCTTTTCATTACGACTTAGCGAATTCTTTCGCTAAATTGCCCCTTTTTGGGAAAGGGAGAACTTAAAGTATCTTCCACTTTCCACTTTTTGCCTTAGTTTATGCCTTTTCCATTCTTCATAACTACTCCCTGGTCCAGATGTTTTGCAGAGCCATAGTACACACCTCATTGCAATGCACGTCAATACGAACAGAAAGATAATGATAATACCAGACACAAAAAGCTTCTTGAGCCAAGCGAAGTTAGGTAGCCAACTAGTAAGTGTTTCCCATATCTCCTTTAGTCCCTCCATAACTGGGTTAGTCTCTACTTGTATTTCCTGTATGTTATCTTTTATTTTCATGAGCTTCCTATCTATCGATTCTGACAGGTCCGAAAGAATAAAGCAGCACATCCCACTAAGATCCTCACAACCATGCCCCTGAGCAAATAATATGAAATCTATAGTGGCTTGGTTCTGGAGTACTGCGTGGCTTATGTTATCCACATTGTATACCAGATCTGATATTAATGACGAGGTGAGATTTAATTCTTTTGCCATGAAGCATGCCAACCTCTCCAAATCCACGGCATTTTTCGCAGCAAGTATTGGAGTTAAAAGGGTGGCTATTATTCTAGTAGGAGAATTCCAGAATGTAATCTGACTATAGCATGTTTCTGGTCGTTGATGTATACTCCTGCTGCCCCTATGTGATCTATTATTATTCCAAATCGTGTCGTTCAAAAGGTCCCTCATTCTGGGAACAAACAAGGTTAATTTACCAAGATAGCAGGGCCCACCTACTGGCCTTACTGGTACACCGGGCCATGCTCGATCCCCACATATCAAGAATATCCCAGGTGGTAGTTGTTTTGCTTGTGTACTGTTATTCCACACATTATTTGTTTCTACTTCACAGGGGAGGCTGCCTCCAGATACATAAGTAAAGGTGGAATCGTGATTCATGTGGTTCATGGTCCTCCAAAGTTCTAACTCGCTCTTACCCCAATACTGAGCCATTAAGGCTGCACTTGTCGCGGTTTTACCTCCAAAGCGAAAGCATCGAGTTCTATTTGGGTCGTGTCTAAATTTGTTATGCACTACCACTCCCAACAGATCTAGCTCTTCTGGATCTGGACGGCTGATATTTAGGCTATTAACTATTACGCTCATACGAAGGGCATCTTCTGCCCCCGTGTTTGCTTTGTACCTTGGGCAGGACAGAGTTGCTCCTGAGCTTACCCCCAGTGTTTCACATAGGGTTGTGAGGTTTGCAGACAAGCCCACAGTATTACTCACATAGTTTCGGAATATAGACCACTGAAAACCCCATGGTACCCCAATAAGGCATGTTCGGAAGGGGTCCGAGGCGGACTGTAACGCAAGGCAAAAAGACTCCTCATTAGTTTGATTAGCCCATGTAACCCACATGTTAGTTCTAACATCTGTGTTATGAATTGCTTCCCCACCCCCTCCTAGTAATAGTTTTAATATCACCATTATTAGCCCTTCAAAGTCCTTCATTTTGTTGTTTTCTTCCGAGTACTACTCTGAGAGGTCCTCTGGTCTCTGTAGTCCAAAGTGGTTGAATCACCTTCTTCAGGCGGGTATGGTGTATCCACGGAATTAGTCCCTCTACTTTAGCTGCTGTGTGGGTGGTCAGGAGTACTTGGTAAGGTCCTTCCTACTTTGGGTGAATCTGAGAGGGATTTAACATAAACATAGTCACCTGGCAAGATATCATGTATCAGGCCTCGTGCTCTGATACCAAATACTGTTTTCTCCATTCTCCTTAGTTGCTTTGCCAAGCTTATCATGTATTCACTCAACACTTCGTTCCCCACCTGGATAGAAATTCCCTTCTGTACAACATAACACCTTCCATAAAGAATCTCATAAGGGCTCAACCCTTCCTTGGTTCAAGGTTTAGTCTGGATTCTTAATAAAGCCAATGGCATTGCTTGGGGCCATGGTATTCTAGCCTCTTGTCCCAGCTTTACTAGCTGTAATTTTATCAGGTGGTTCATCTTCTCCACTTGACCACTGGATTGAGGCCTGTAGGGAGTATGTAGTTGCCAATCGATCCCCAATAATGTACTCACTTGCTGTACTATTTTAGCAACAAAGTCCTCTATCTGAGGATAACACTGCCGGCACCCTGAGCCTTGGAATGATTTCATGCAGCAATGCTTTAGTTAGTTATCCATGCCTTATTAGTTCGGCATGCATATGCCTCGGGCCATCCTGAAAAGGTATCAGATAGGACCAACAGGTACCTATACCTCCCTTTTCTCGGGAGTTCCGTGAAATCCACCTGCCACTGTTGCCCAGGGAAATTTCCCTTTCCTATCTGCCCTATCTGGGTCCTCTGACCTGTCTCTGGATTGTTCCAAACAAACCTCACATTGCTGGGTCACCTGTTTTATTGTGGTAAATTAATTTTCTGGCTACTATTTGCTGCATTAAACTCTTACACAAGGCTTCTGTACCCCAATGGGCTTTCCTATGTTCTGCCATTACTACAGCCCATAATATGGCTGATGGGATAATTAATTTCCCTCGTGGCATAAAAGCCCATCCTTCTTCTCTTATCCATCCCCCTAGGCCATTTATCAAATTCCAGGCCCCTTTTGAATATTTTGGCTCACCGTCCACTTGAATTTTACCATCTGGATTCAAGGACCCCTCTGTCACCACATTCTCAGCCACTTGTTTCGCTTCTCGATCAGCTAAGGCATTTCCCATCTCTTCAGCGTTGTTTCCTCTTTGATGGGAATGGCAATGCATAATAGCCACTTTCTCTGGTTGCTGTACTGCCTCCAGAAGTCTTAGTATTTCCTGGGCATGTTTGATGCTTTTCCCTTGGGTGGACAATAGGCCCCTCTCCTTCCATATTGCCAATTCTAAAGCCCTTGTCAAAGCTATTATTTCAGCCTTTTGTGCCAAAGTATTTGGAGGTAGGACTTTGGCCTCTATTACCTTTTCAACAGTTGTTACTGCATATCCTGCCTTATGAGTTCCTTGTCGAACAAAACTGCTTCTGTCCGTGTACCAGGTGTCTTCTGCATCCTTTAATGGTTCCTCTTTCAAGTCCAAATGGCTAGAATATACAGCTTCAATAGTCTCTAAACAATCATGGGATACAGGTTCCCCTGCAACTCCACTAAGAAATGAGGCTGGATTAATGATGTTTGTTACTAATATTTCTACATCGTCCTGCTCCACTGAAATAGCTTGATACTTCAGAAATCACTGAGGGGAAAGCCAATGTCCCCCTTTCACTTCCAACACCATGGAGACTGTGTGGGATATTAGTACAGTCATCTTTTGCCCCATTGTAAACTTTCGGGCTTCTTGGATGTTGATTACTAGGGCAGCTACAGCCTTAGGCATCCCAGCCAGCCTTTGCTTACGTCACCAAGCTTTTTAGAGAAATAAGCCACCACTCTTCAATATGGCCCAAGGTTCTGAGCTAACACCCCCAAAGCTATTCCCTGTTTCTCATAGGAGAATAGCAAAAAGGACTTTGTGACATCTGGGAGCCCCAAGGCTGGGGATCTCGTTAGCTCTTGTTTTAACTGTCGGAATGCCCTTTTAGCCTCCCCGTTCCATATTAAGTCTTTGGGGTGGGATTTTATCAGTGCGTAGAGGGGTTTTACCAGTACTACATAGTTGGGAATCCATAAACAGCACCACCTGGTCATTCTGAGGAATGTTCAAAGCTCCTTAGATGTACGCAGCTCAGGGGTCTGGCAAATAGCCTCCTTCTGGGCACTTCCCAATGTTTGTGTCCCTGCAGCAATTCCATATCCTAGGTATGTTACTTGTTGTGGGCCACTTGTGCTTTCTGTGGAGAGACTCGATAGCCATTAAGCCCAAGGAAGTTTAGTAAGCTTATTGTCCATCTCAAGCATGCCTCCTTTGTCTTTTTAGCTATCAAAAGATCATCTACATACTGTAATCGTACTCCTTCGTCAGGTCGACGTTCCCATAGCTCCAAATCCTTGGTCAATTGATTCCCAAATATTGTGTGGCTGTTTTAAAATCCTCGTGGGAGTACAGTCCAAGTGAGTTGGGATTTTCATCCTGTACTGGGGTTTTCCCATTCCAATGCAAACAGCGGCTGACCTTCTGCTGCAAATGGCAGGCAGAAGAAGGCATCCTTTAAATCCAGGACAGTAAAATATGCTAGTTCAGTGGACAGTTTGGTAAGCAAGGTATAAGGGTTTGCTACTAAAGGATACAAATCCTCTACTATTTTGTTAACTGCCCTCAAGTCCTGTACTATTCGATAACTACCGTCAGGTTTTCTTACTGGTAATATCGGTGTATTGTACTTTGATTCACACTCCACCAATAGGCCGTATTTCATAAATCGGTCAATTATTGGTTGTATTCCTTCCCTGTCTTCCATCCTTAATGGGTACTGTTTAATCCTTGGGGGTTGGCTTCCTAATTTAACCCTTATGGCCACAGGAGATGCATTCCTAGCTCGCCCCAGGGTTTCAACTTCCCATACTCCTGGAAAAACCTGTTTTTTTATATCCTCTGGGATCTCTGTGCCTACCGGGGTAGTTATTAAGGCCAAATTAAGAAATTCTATAATGTACTCGTCCTTTACTCTGAACTTCATTCCCCCTGACTCAAATTTTATTTCTGCATCCAATTGTTCCAGTAAGTCTCGGCCCAGAAGAGATTTTGGCGAATTTGGCATATACAAAAATCTGTGTATTCCCACCTGTTTTCCTAACTTGAATTTTAAAGGTTTGAGAAAATATGCATTTTATGGATGACCGGTGGCCCCTTTTACCATGGTATATTCTTGACTGAGTGGTTTTAAGGATTCATTCAAGACTGAATAAATAGCCCCGTATCTATTAAAAATTTCATGCTCTGCTGTTTATTCCCTAGCTTGATTTTAACCAGTGGATTTCCCCTGTCACCATCATTGTTCTAATGGGACTTGGATTCTTGTCCATGGCCCTTTACCCCTCTGGTTCCATTGAGGACAGTCCCTTTTCCAGTGTCCTCTTTTCTTGCATACTGCACACTGATCCTTGTCCAATCTTTTCTTCCCCGGTCCTCCCTTATCCATCCCTGATTTCCCTATCTCTCCTAGTGCTGCCACTAACATTCACTTGTCATGCCTCCTACCTTCCTCTTCCCGATTGCTAAATAGCCTCCATGCTTCCTCTAATAGACTATCTAAGTTTCGTGCATCAAGACCCTTCATCTTCTGCAGCTTTCATCTTATGTCCCCTGTCGATTGTCCTATAAACAATGATATGAGTTGCTGGATACCTATTTCTGATCCTGGATATAAGGATGTGTGTTTCCTCATGGTATCTCTTAGCCTATCCAGAAACTCTGAAGGAGTCTCTCAAGGTCCCTGCCTTATAGCATATAGGGTGGACCAATTGATAGTTTTGGGGATGGCCCTCTCCATTCCTTTTTCTACCCATTCTCTGTATGCTATTAGGCGGTCTCGCTCAGGTGCCCTGTCCAGATCTCAGTGAGGATCTTGTCTTGGAAAATGATCTTTATATCTTCATGCCCTCCCCGCAAACTGTCCTCTGCCAGATTCTGGGCTGTTCTTAAGATTAAATCTTTCTCTGTTTCTGTCATAGAATCCAGTAACAGTTGGATATCATTCCAATCTGGGTTATGCTGTCTGATCACGTATTGGAAATGCCACGTTACCCCCTCCTCCCCCCGGATCACTTTGATAATCTTTAACAATCTTTTTCCAATTCTCCAGATCAAAGAAAGAAAATGGGACTTTGATTAAAATCCGTGCCCCGTCTGGTCCTACTGCTTCCCTTAGGGGAGCCAAGAAAGCACTTTGCTGCTTTCTAGTTCTTGAAGCAATAGGGGAATCTGGAGGAGTTCCAGGGAGGGAAGCATCCTCTCCCTCCTCCGAATATTCTCTCCATTCAATACCAAGACCTCTTACCCCTGGAGCCTGACAGTGATCAACCAATTTGTCAGTGGTTCTAATTTTTGTTAGTCTGGTGCACTGCTGCCCTATGCTACATGCTGAGCAGCAACGCTTCATTTTCCTGTTGCCTGTTGTTCGTTGCTCTTTTTCTAATGCTAACACTAAAGGATCCTGCAGGGCCCCCATCCCACACCCTTTTTGCCATTCTGGGTGGTTTCAGAGGGTAAAGAACATGTCTGCATATGTGACCTTGTCCCATTTGCCTTCCCTTCTTAGAAATAGCATCAGTTGCAAAATAGTATTGTAATTTAAGGTCCCATTTAGGGGCCACTTTTCCCCATCTTCTAACTTGTATAGCATCCACCATTGGTTGCAGTGTTTTATCAGGGTTTTCTTATTCAAAGTACCCCCTGGCTCTCCTGCAACATCCTTCCAAGGTGCCAATATACACCCGAGAGGTGTCCTTTTAGGTATTTCTTTCCCTTGTGACCCTCCCATAGTGTTATTTTGTTGTTTTATTAGTTTACTAATGCTTCCACAAATTACTCCTTTTACCCTGAAGTTTCCCCAAAACAATCCCCAGAATTCCACCACTCTTTTCCACACTCCAGGCACGAGTAACACCAATACCCTCAATATATCTCTTTACAAGCTAAACAGAGTATCACATAAACTGGACACCATACATTTATTCTGTGAAATATACACCTTTCTGCTGGTCCGTCCCTGTAATTTATGACATATAAGTTCCCATATTCATCCCACTCCAAAAAGTTCATTTGCATTTACATTAAAACCATTCAGATCCCCTTTTTCCCAATTTATCAAAAATAACACATACAGGGGAATTGTATAGACGGACAAAACAATCAACAACTTCCTCTTTCACTCTGTAGCTTAGCTACGTCTCAATCACACCACATTCACTCTGACACTTAGATTTGCCAGCTCAGGTAACATCTGAGTTCAGATGTTTAAGAGGATATCCCGAATGTATCAATAACAGTTATTCAAACACAGTACTGGACATTTGCAGCAGATGGTAATAACAGTGCGGATTACTATTCCTACTACCACGGATACAATGATATAGGTTATCATTTGACAGGTGTCAACACTATACCTTGCTGACCTGGGGTGGGACTTAAAACCACAATCCCTGGAAGCAACGACGAACTTGTGAACCACTGCCCAAACGCTAGCCTAGCTTACTATTGCCAGCCAGAGGTGGGACTCAAACCCGCAATCCCTGGGATCAGATACAGTGCTACAAAAATGCCTGTCCCTGGTAATTACCTTCCCGTCCTGTATCTCTGGACTAGTCCAATCTCATGGTAAAACCCTCCCACGTAGGGCATCCCCTCACATCTTACGGAGTCCCCTTCTGCTCCTGTTTATGCCTTACGGAGCCTTTCCTTCACACGTACCTGGTCCGCTTCCAGACAGTCCTTGTCTGTCCCCGCAGTGATTGGATGAGAAGGGGGAGTCCTTCCAAGAATTCTCAGGGCATGCCAAAGGCGTCCCCTTCCTCAACCAGTCCTGCAGCCGAACAGGGAGTGTCCCATCTGGGGTGCCAAATTGATTAGCGGAAACAAACTCTCCAACCCACATAAGGTTATAAGAGCAGGTACATCTTTATTTCAGCACTGTGCCACATGCTGGGTGCAAAGGGGATCGCTCCTCCTAGCTTGCACACCAGAGAGTGTGATCTCAATACATTTATAAGCCAAGCCATATATATTCAGCAGTATTTCCCAAGACCTATTGACATATTTATTACTTTTCCGAGAATTCTTTTATATACTGTCCCTCACCCTAGTGCATGTGTAGTAGCTTCCGTTGGATGAAGGCTCGACATCCTCCTCTTCACCTGGTGGTGTCTCTGGATGAAGTCAGCAGTCTTCCTCGCCATGTCCTTCTGACCTTTGTCCCCGTTCTGAGCTCTTCTCCCACCCCTGTGTGCCTCAGCAATTTCTTGTCTTGTCTGTCCTCCCTTTTTATTTTTTTCTCATTGGCCCCTTTCTGCTGACTTGAGAAGGCTCCCTTTTGAGAATGTGCTTGGGCTAGCAAAAGTTAAACCAAGCAATTCCTTATGAGTTAGCAGAAAGTTAAACTAAGCGAATTCCTTTCGAGTTAGCAAAACCAAGTGGTGTTATGGACCCCTTACATCTTGTATTCCTCAGCTTACTATCTCAGTAGAGTGCACATACAAGAAAATTCATGGATGTCATGAATCTGGAAGGAGAGGCTCCCTGAGAGCTGCACAGCCATTTAGAGGGACCTTGACAGGCTGAAGAGGTGGGCTGAGCAA